AAAAACCCCCATAGATGTTTTACTTATTTTGAGTGAATTAATTTTTTTCTGCTTTTATTTTTTGTCATTTGCACAGTAGTTCATAGTGTGTTTCAATGCGACATAAATGAAAGTATTTCCTTTTACTGCTTTGAACTTTGGAGCAGTCCAGCTACATTGTAAAAGCATTCGTTAATCTGTTACTAGAGCCTTTTGATTTTGCTTTTTTTTTTTTTTTACTTATGTTATCCTACACTAGAAAACACTATACATTTCTTTTTCTATTTGCCTGAATTTACTGGCAGCATTAAAATAGCAAATGTTTTTCGTGATGTATTGAGATGCATTTATAATTAATAACACACTGTAACTAAAGTTATTTTCACCTAGCTGATACAGTGAGCATATGTGTAGCTATATTTAAATGAATATTCCTGACATGTTGAGACATGGAATGACAAGTCTCATGGGATGACATCGTCATGTGTTGGAATGACAAAAGCTTTGCCTAGTCACGCTCTGAATAAGGAGAACTTCAGTCCCACAAAGCTAGAGTGAGGTCTATGAAACTAAACCACGTGGCCCATTCCTTGAGTTGTAACAGCACTCAGGACATGTGGATTTTTTTGGTTCTGCTTCTGGTTTCCTGAAAAGCTAGGGGCAAATCACCATATTTTCTGGTACCCTAATTCCTTGATCTGCGGAATAAGGATAATTATGCTGATCTCATTCATAAAGAGTGCTGAAATCTCCTGGTGATTGCTGTATTGCTAGCATTGCTTCTGCTGTAATCAGTAAATGGTTACAACATATTCACAGACTGAAATGCTGCTTCTGTAGCAGAACTGGTTTGATTTCTGCCACATATAATACTATTTTGCATTTTGTCTCTCAGGTGAAGTTACAGAGGAAGAAAAGAACCTGAGTAGAACTCTGATGAAGTACTGGGCAAACTTTGCTCGGAATGGGTAAGAATCATGAGGTCCATGACAGGGCATTACTGGTTTGTAGTGACTCCATAGGGAGTTAACTGATTCAGTGTTAACTTCTGGGACTGAATTCCCCTGCGACTGAAAAGGGCATTCACTCTTTCTTTCTTGTTGTTTACAGAAATCCTAATGGAGAGGGTTTGGTTGAATGGCCATCTTACAACCTAGATGAAGAATACTTAGAGATAAATCTGAAACAGAAGAAAGCCAGAAAGCTGAAGGAAAAGAAGATAGACTTCTTGAGAAAGGTGATGTTTGACAAGACAAGTAACAAAAGAATGGAAAACAAGAAGGTTAATTCAGAGTTATAATTTACAGTCTAAACATGCACATAATATACAAACTATTAGGATAGTAAAAGAAATTAAGTAATTTTGAGGATAAAATTGCATTTACCTTCTTTTCACCTGTTCTTCACGGTTGTCATATTTGCAATTTTTCACTGTAATAATTCCAATTTATCTGTTTCCCCTTTGTGATCCTTACTTTTTCCTGGCTTTGGGTCTACAACAGAAGCCTCGCTCATTAAATACAGTTACCAAATTTCCCTACCACTTATACTTTTCTGTGACTTCCCCATGACTGAAGACAGAATGTAGCAGCAACCTGGTTTTAATAAAGTGACATCAATAAAGACCCAATTTGCGAGTAAAACTGTCCTATTATGTCGAGCGTATCCATGATCGTACGGAAGTTTTGGTCTGATTTAGATACAGAAATGTCTGTATTCTAACGAATGTTCTGCTTTGTAAGTTGGTTTTCGACAGACAATGTATTTCTGAATGTGGAAAGACTGGGTTGCCCCGGAATAATTCCAGCCCTTACCAGCTGATATGCACTTGGACTGCCAGGAACAAGTCTTGAACGCATGGTTTCAGTGTTGCCAAGAACTTGTTTCTCTGCTTTATTGAAAGGAATAGGGTGGGATTTCCTGCGTCTTTCTGCCCAAAGTCTGTTGCCAGTTGGAACTGGGGAGGTAGGGTGATCGTACGGAAGTTTTGGTCTGATTTAGATGCAGAAATGTCTGTATTCTAATGAACGTTCTGCTTTGTAAGTTGGTTTTTGACAGATAGTGTATTTCTGAATGTTGTGGTACATAATCTGGAGAGACTGGGTTTCCCCAGAATTATTCCAGCCCTTACCAGCTGATATGCACTTGGACTGCCAGGAACAAGTCTTGAACGCATGGTTTCAGTGTTGCCAAGAACTTGTTTCTCTGCTTTATTGAAAGGAATAGGGTGGGATTTCCTGCGTCTTTCTGCCCAAAGTCTGTTGCCAGTTGGAACTGGGGAGGTAGGGTTAGACTGTGAGCTCAACGGCTGCTTTGGTAAGTGTTTTGTTTTAGCTAACATGTTTTGTGAGGGGAATACAATCTCAAAATAGTTTTGAGAGATTTTCATTGCACATACAATTCCCCTAAGGTCCTGTACGACTCCTTTTAAAAGGAGAGAAGCAGGCAGTGTTGTAGGTATACACACAGAATATATGCTTCTGCTGTAAGTATGTGCAGAGGAGTGCAGTGGGATGGCACAGGCACAGTGCTAAAAATAAATCACAGTGGAAAATGTTGAAAGATTTTACCCCTGTTTACTTAGGGGTGAGTGCTCTGATCCTCTGTCCCATCCCAGAGACCTCCTGACGTGATACTGCCAGATGCTAAAGAGACAGAGTTAAAGCTGTCCAAGTGCTGGCTTCATAAACTCTGGGTTTTACACACTCCAGCTTCATTGAATGCTCGCCAGGGGCTGAGTAACAGAACAAACTGACCCTGTTTTAAATGCAGACTTGTAAACTTTTCTACCAGCCGTACTTGAGGCAAAATGTAATTGTGAGCTCTTATGCAATTATGAGCCTGTAAATGTGGTATTTGTCTCTATTTTTCAGCTACTGAGATCAAGAAAGGTAGCAGTGCATTAAAGTATTAAGCGGCAAATATCATCACGTGGCAGGATTTTTTTGGCTCGGTCCCTGACTTACGCATTATTCACTGAAGGAGGGTAAGCTGCAAAATGTTCTCTTAAAACTGAATGCCAAACAAGATCCCAGAACTCCACTTGCCAGATATGTAGCACGGTCTCCAGGTTCCAAAAGTCCCATGTGTGGCACTGGAGCAAGGGTTTCCACCTTCTCAGGGCGAGTAGGTCATACCTGTAGATCCATACAAAGCATTTACAGTGAAGGCTGTAGGGATCTAAAATCCCATTTTTTTGTTATCTTGCTGTAAGTGAGATTGGCAGAGTTTGCAGAAACTGTTCTGCACTGGTGATATTTTCAGAATGGCTGCGTCTCTGGGACTGCGGATGGGATGTGGGTGAGACGTTCTGCACTTCAGAGAGAAAAAGTGCACAGAAAAAATTAAACTTGAAGAGTAGGGCTTGGAAAATAGAATAGTTAATGAAGGGGGAAAATAAAGGGAAAGCAAATGGGAGAGCGTTTAGTAAAATCAGTGAAGATCAGGAGATAGAAAATTAATTGTGTATGGAGCTAAATGAAGTTTGTTTCAGGAGAAGGGAAGAGCAGCAGGCAGAGCACACAGCAGCAGAGTGCGCAGCATTTGGCTTTGTGGCCAAGGACCCCTCCCGCAGTTTGGGGGTCAGCAGGGAGCTGAGGCAGACGTGCCCCTCGGGGTGGAAGCCAAGTCACAAGCAGGGATTCCTGTAGTTCCACCTCGCACGGAAAGAGCTTTCCCATGCCAGGAACCAAAGCAGTCCAAGGTAAGTGGAGACGGGGAGAGAATCTGCAACAGCATTGGAGGCAAACAGGAGTGCACACCACTGCACAGTACTGCTGGCTTCTAGGAAACCTTTATCACACAGGTAAAGGTAGGAGATCATTTACACTCCACTCCATCCCTTGTGCTCCAGGCACCTGTTTCCATTTATTGCATCAATACAGTGTGGACTGAACATACATAAAAGTGCAGACTAATCCCAGATCAGTTTTATTGACACAAATAAAGGTTTGCTCCCTGGGCAGCCCCGTTCAAAGCTGGCCTGGGTTTACCCACAGGGCTGTAAATCCCACCTGCGCAGACGCACTGCGCCAGGCCGGGGGCAAAGTACACAAGCACAGCCTCAGCACACAGGGCCACGAGGTGCAAAATGCAAGTGCTGAACTAATTAATGACTGTGGGTCTTTAGGGCCCACTTAGCTGAAAACAGAGGTGCAAGCAGTAAATAAAGCTATAGAGAGGCTGTCTCAGAAAACTGAGAATTCTCATGAAATAAAATTGCAAAGCAGCCTTTCTGGGGCAAGAGCTACTGAGCCTTGCTAAAAAAACAAAACCAAAAAAAGGCAGAGCTCAAAGCTTACTAACATAGAACTAACATAACTCTTAGTCAACATGGGCAGAAAATCTCTTTTATTTCTCTTCAGCTCTCTCATCGCTGCTTTTCATACCATGCTCCAATGATAGAGGTGAATTCACACAGAAGTTCATAAACCCTCCTGGTTTTTCAGAGGCATTAAATGTATAGTCAACACTCAAATCCCTTACTATTGTTCTCACAATAGAAAAGCTGAGAAATGATCTCTTTAGTGTTGCAAAACTCTTGTATTGTGTTTGATACCGAACTAACGTCCCCGAACACGCAGGACTCCTCCTATTTTGTGAGAATAAAAATCCCTCAACTTTTACTTCAGCAGAAGTACATTTTTTTCAGGAGTATTTTTTTGGATTTTGCTCTCTGTGGCTATACTGTATGTTGGGATATTAATACTAAAATGAAGTGAACAGATGTAATAAAGTAAAAGTGTAGTTCCCTTCCTGCTCTCTTCACTGTCGGGTGAGGAAATCCTGACTGCATTGTGAAAGGTGGCAGTGAGACAGCATTTCTTGCAATGGGAGACTGTTTTCAACAATGCATTTTAAAGCACGTACTTGATGCCTGAAGTTTTGTGATTTACAGGGAGCTCTGAGGACACTGATGGGGCCACCCTGCAAGGCAGGAGGTCTCCTCCCACCCCGAGCAGGGATTTAGAGGCAGGGCTTGGCTCACAGCTTGAGTATTACTTTTCCTAATCAGTGCTTGCCTTGCGCAAGAGTTATACTTAACTGAGTATATAAGGCAACGTGCTGAGGAGGTGAATATGTGACCAGCTTGCAAAATGGCAACTGGAAAGGACGCGTCGCGGCTGTCCTTGATTCTCACCATCGGGGCCGCAGCGCTCGTTGCTACTGGTAAGGTTCAGGGGTGTTTATTGCCTTCTGTAAGGGGACAACAGGGCACACGTGCAGCTTGCTCACCTGGGGAATCCCCGGCTCTGTCGGAGGAGCTGGGCACCCAGCCTTGCTGCACAGAAATTAAGTCTGCATAGAAAATCATTCTTAATTTCTTTCTGTGATCTCTTTTCAGTCATTTGTCTTATTTGCCTTTTTTTGCGAAATTAAATTCCTGTCCCAAAGTCTTGTCTGCAGAGGCAGAGCAGTCCACATTTTCAGTCATTTGTCTTATTTGCCTTTTTTGCGAAATCGAATTCCTGTCCCAAATTCTTGTCTGCAGAGGCAGAGCAGTCCACTCTTCCACATTTGTAATCTGGTATTAGAACTTTGGCACTCATCTTAAAATTAATCTTACCTAAATGTTAGCTGGATTTGTGTATGCCAGATTGTTTTCGGATCTCTTAGAAGCTTTTTCTTTTGGCTGTACATACTACCAATCGTCCGGAATATCTTTTGCATATTCTCAGATCTTTTCTTAAAAAGGAAATGGCATTTCTTAATGAGAGCTATCTACTGGACTTTTAACTAACAACCTGGATCAGAAAGGAGTAAGATCTATATGCAATTACTGACATGTGTGGACAGTAGGGCAATACGTGCCATATACCCAAGGGAGATGACATGTACAAAGCAGTATTTGTATGTGTATTTCAGCCTTCAGACTGAAGGCTGAAACATGTCAGCTATACTGATTAGAGTTGTTGAAGCCTTATGTAGGAAAATGAATTGTTTAAGCAAAAAAGAGGTGTATATTTAAGTAGCTAAAGCTCTTAGAATTCTGGCAATTACTTACAAATAGACCAATTTTGTGACTTTGTGCTCACATCCCCCAGGACAAAAAGCAGAGCAGCCAGAAGTGGTGACCAAATACGGGACAGTCCGAGGGTACCAATTCAAAGTAGACGCAGCTGAGAGGAGCATAAATGTCTTTTTGGGAGTTCCTTTTGCAAAGCCTCCAGTTGGGCCACTGAGGTTTGCTGAGCCCGAGCCACCTGAGCCATGGAAAGGTGTCAGAGATGCCACCTCCTACCCGCCAATGTAAGACAATGCAAAGCCATTAACCTTTTTAATAATTTTATATCTTATGCAATTCCAGGACACTGATGTACAGGGCATCGAAAGCCACAAAGGTAAATTCCTTGGGGCCATCTTGTTACCACCTGCAGCTGATAAAATGAATGGATTTCTACAGACATCCTTACAAGCTGCTCTTTTTGTTAAAAACTCTTATCTAATGGGCATCAGTGATGAACTAATATGGACCAGTGCTTGGCTATATTGTTCTGGTTTGGGAGCACTTGGCCATTACTTAGCAATATTTATAAATGGTGTAGCTTTGGAGCAAAACCAGAAACAAGCTGAGGAAAAGTTGGAATGAAATAGTAGAAGAAAAAAATGCTTAATAGGACACATAAGAAATGCAGACCAAGTCTACTCTATATTACAAATGTCTTACTCCGTTTGTACTACTGCCCTTGTTTAGTGCCTGGAGCCTAATACCTACCATTCCAATACAAAAAGCTCTTGGAGATGTAAAATAACTAATTTGCTTCTTCATTGAAGTAATTTGTAGCCATACATATTTGCAGGTATAATTCTGTAATATTTTGAAACATGCACAATTATATCTGCATGTCACTGTGTACTGCTGTAGACTGTGCCTCCGTTTTACAGATCTTATTCATGTCAGCTCAAAGGAAGAAAATATATTAAAAGTAGAAAAAATATTTTATGTTTGTTTTCTGTTGCCAACAATCTGTTGCCAAGAAATGTACTCGAGATTGGTTTCTGGTTTCACGTTATTGTGGAAATACAAAAAGGCTCCATTTCACAGCTTTGAGGTTTTAGTTATTTCTACTGCTTGGTTTTGTTTTGTTTTTTTTTCATTTATTCAGGTGTCTACAGGATAAAGTGCAAGGACAGGTTTTTTCAGACCTTATTACTAACAGAAAAGAAAAAGTTCTTCTCGATGTGTCTGAAGATTGCTTATACCTCAATGTGTACACACCCGTTTCTACAGAAAAACAGGAGAAGCAGCCTGTAAGCAAAATCATTCTGAAACCTCTAGTAAAATGATTGTACAGCAAACCTACAACCTGTTCTGTCTGCAGACTTACAGGTGCAGTTTTGTGGTGATGATTACGTTGCATGCTTTGCCCCAGTAAATATTTGCTGAAGTTTACAAGATACACAAAATCCTATTTTACAAATAAAATTTTATTGACATTTTAGCTAGGTAATTTGATTTCTTCTATATAACCTGCGAAAAGTCATGGGGTACTGGTCTATTATAACTATTTAATAAAATCACAGACACTCTGTAAGACTGGAGGCCTCATATTTGAAAGATTTCTACCATTTGTGGAACATAATCTGAAAGAGTCTGGAGGGAAACAGCACACAATGTTATATTTTAGTTCACATTGAGTTTTTATCACTGGAGGCTCTTACCTCTGCTGGGTTGTTTCTGGTTGTGTCTTTGCAGGTCTTTGTATGGATCCACGGAGGTGGATTAGTTTTTGGAGCAGCTTCATCATACGATGGCTCAGCGTTAGCGGCCTTTGACAATGTTGTGGTTGTAACAATTCAGTACAGATTAGGTATTGCTGGGTATTTCAGGTAAGATATTTGGTCTCCCTTTTTGCTAAGTGATTTCCAAAATTATGTGTGCAAAGCCTTTGTGAGGAGACATGCAGAATACTGCAAAGAAACTATACATTTCTTAATTACATGTGCAACAGTTGGGAACAATTTACAGGTCCCAGGTCAGCTTCCAAGTCTGTTCTTGTTTGATTGCTGCTCCAATCTCAATGCTTTCTGAGCCATTTGTTTTCAGTTGTGTAGAGAACAGCAGATGATTTCTTATACCACAGACTGTATTTTGCTCTGTCTTTTTTCTTGCATGGAGCATTTAAACAAATCTGTTCTTTCTCCGCAGCACTGGCGATAAACATGCCCGAGGGAACTGGGGGTATTTGGATCAAGTAGCAGCTCTTCAGTGGATTCAGGAAAATATCATACATTTTGGAGGAGATCCAGGATCCGTCACTATTGCTGGAGAATCTGCAGGAGGAATCAGCGTTTCTGCTCTTGTAAGTTCACAGTAATACAAAATTTAATTTACTTAGGGGAAAAAAAACCCCAAACACCATACATGTTAATTTTTAATAATTGCCTAAAAAGTCAGTGAGAGAAAGTTGTTTTCAAAATGTTTGAAATGGCAATTCCTGAGACTGGAATTCCAAGTCTGTGGTCACAATATAATGCTTGTCGTGCTTAAGATGCTTGTTCTTGCCTTTTCACAGGTCTTATCTCCCCTGGCAAAGGGCTTGTTCCATAAGGCCATCTCAGAGAGTGGTACTGCAATCAGGGTCTTGTTCACTGACCAGCCTGAGGAGGATGCACAAGTGGGTATTTTGTGGAATTTTAAGTATTTTTCCAGATAGTTTTTTTCATACCTTAAAGGGTTTATTCAAAAAATGTAAAAACAGGTGTTTTTTTCTTGTGAAACTACAACCACAGTCATTAGAGACAGTATTTCTGTGTGCACTTAATGATGCTTTGCTTCTCATATACCCAAATATCCATACATGTCTGAGTGAAATCAAAAGATGAAGAGAAGACAAAAAAGCAGGGAAGAATTACGAAATGTAAAGGAGTGCTATAACATGTAACTGTCTTCAAGAAAAGTTGAGCTATAATTTTTGGCTGAAAAATGGCACCAGATGCTGAATACTCTTCTTGTCCCCTCCTATTTTGATGCCTGTCATGTGCAAATAAACAAGACTTTATTCAATGTGTTCATATTTGAAAAGAAGAGCTGACTTCCAGCCAATTTTTTTTTTTGAGCAACAGCTTCCAGGAACCTAGATTTGATAATCTGGGATATAAGAGGCAAACATTATGATGAGCTCTGTCTCTCTAAGGACAGCTGTTTCTTCACCCAAAAAGAATCATCAATAATGGCATAATGTGCTCTTCATTACAATCCACGTGGTTGTATTCCGAATGTGCATCGCTCTAACTCCTTCCTGCCATCCTCCTGCCCTCTCAGCACAGCGTGTTTTTCACCAGAAGGGCTATCTTGGTCTATTTCTGTATCAAAATATTTTGGAGGTGTATATTTAGCCCTTCTGCTCTGTCCACAGTGTGAAGGGCTATGAGATTTTCCAGTTCTCTGCCTCTGTGCTGGGACAGGTCTGGCTTTGATGGTCCCTGTGCAGAAGTTTAGACCCCCCCTGGGGCTGGGTGGCACATAGAGCCTTCCATGGGAAGTGTGTGTAAAAGTGAGGGTTTTTATCCATTGCAGAGAATCGCTACTGCCTTTGGCTGTGAAAAACACAGTTCAGCTGCAATGGTTGAATGCTTAAGAGGAAAAACAGAAGAAGAGATAATACAGACAACACTAAAAATGGTAGGTGGAACTGTACTGCTTGCATTGAATTGGCATCTCAAATTTTATTGTAACAGAGTGTGCTATTTGTGTGTGGCAATATTAGGAGAACTTGAAGTGAATGTAACATCTGACTTTTTTGACCTTTTCAGGATTTGACCACACTGCAGCTATGCTCTACCTCACCTGAAAACTGTGAACAGGTTACTGCCCTCTCATTCTGCATGGACTTTGAGCTATTTGTGTTTTGCTGTCATGCTCTACCAGGGCAAGGAGAAAATTATGTGAAATGTCACGGTTTCTCCTGGAGAATTGGAAAATTAATTAATATAATACATTATGTCCTACTTAAAATTTCTTATCACAGTGCTGGCTTCCATGTTGCTGTGCAGTTTCAACACAGAAGATAGTTTTCCCACTACTCCTCCACACATCCATAATAGGACTGAACTAAGAGGAGATGTAAATTGGACATCATCACCTCTGTTTCACAAGCATTACAAATATAATGCTAATCTCCACAGAATCTTCTGCCCAGTGCAGAAAATCTGTCTGAGCAAATTTAGAGATGCCATCAAAGCTATTAGTTCCTGTATTTTCACTTGGCACTTCATTTTGTTTTGCTTTGGAACTGCAGTAAAAACCTGACAATTTTTTCTAAAAGGAAAATTCATGTATTAATGAAGTTTTTCTTTCTTTCCCCCCCTCCTTCAGCCTTCCCTGTTCATCAGTGCATCTGCAGATGGTAAATTTTTTCCGAAGAGTCCCAGGCAATTACTATCTGAAAAAGAGATCAATGCAGTCCCATATATAATAGGAGTAAATAACTGTGAATTTGGATGGGTACTTCCTATGGTAAGAGACCCTCAATGTTACTATTTGTATATCATGTTGTTAATATCAGACTTCCTAATAAGTGTGGTTCACTGTATCGTGCAGACAATGAAATTCCCTGCGTACGCAGATGGTCTGGATAAAGACGTTGCACGTCAAATTTTACAGAGCTCCTTACCATTATCACTGAAGGTAAGAGACCGTTCCAGAATAACCCACTGCTGCTTCTTCACCAGTCTGGTTCTACGTCTGTACTCCTGGAGGGGTGTTTTTTAGAGGCAAACTTTGTCCTGTTGGACGCCTTCCTAGCATGAGGCAGTAAAGGGCAGCAGATGTGGTGGATTCTTACTAGCAATTGAAAATACACCCTAAATTTCTATCCCAAATGCCCCTCTTTTTAAAAAGGAGTTCTGTGGAAACCTGGGAGTGATTCAGGTACCTAAACACAGATCCCTGGTGACATTTTCAATACCCTAGGGTATCCAAGACATGCACGGTACCCACAGGTATGACACCAGACCTGTAGAACCTGCCGTCCCGAAGCAGTGGCTGGAGACTAGAAAGGATAACCTGAGGTGTTTAGAGTGGCACAGAGAGACCTATGTTTAGGTGACTTGAGGTTTTGCTTCCCTGTAATTTACAAACCTCTCAGCCTTCTGCTTCCTTTGTACTCTCCTGAAACTACTAACTATAGAAAAATGCAGATTAATAGGGAAGAATTAAGGACTTTCTAAACATGGCCAGTACTTGCAATGGATCATTCAGTGTCACCCAACTCAGAAAGGCAGAGCCCAGATTTGTTCTGAAAGGGAGTAAGTTACAGCCATCAACAACAGCAAACGAATTTGATTAAGTCCAACAGGATTTCCTGTCTCTTACGAGGGTTGTGAGCACAGACTACAGTATCTATCGATCACTGACTGATGTTTAGCTACAGATGTTTGATCTTTAGATCTTGCAAACCCCTTTTCCCTGACAACATTTATAACCCCCAATTCTGAGCCACACTCTGGCACAGCTGAGGGTTTTCTCTGAAAGAAAGTAACGTTTGGGGCTTAGCCAGGGACACACAGATGGCATGCTCAATTAGCGCTGCTACTCTTTATAATACTCATCATCCTGATAAGAAGTGTTTTTGCTAATTTCAGGGTATTACTTCTGAAGTTGTTGACCGAATATACAATGAATACATAGGGAATGCAGAAAGCCGTGCTCAGGTGCGGGATGGCCTTCTTGATGCAATAGGAGACCCTTTGTTTGTTCTCTCAGCCATTGAAGTGGCTCGATACCACAGAGGTAAGTCTCTAACCCAGCATCTGCCAGAAGAAATGTGGAATTCCATCCTGGGGTGTGTTTATGGACAGTTTGCATCACATTTCATTAGCCAAAGAACTGATAGTGTTTTCATTTTATCAAAATACCTTGTAATGAAGGCCTATCATCTTTGGCGGCAGGTATTTTCAGCTCTTAAAGTAACACTCTTCTGTGTGTTTTCTACCAGATGCTGGCAACCCAGTCTACCTTTATGAATTTCAGCATCGGCCAAGTTCAGCAGCGGGGGTTGTACCGGAGTTTGTAAAGGCAGATCATGGAGATGAGATTGCCTTTGTCTTTGGAAAGCCATTCCTAGCAGGTGATGTATCCATGCTTAATAAAGTAGTCCTTTTAAAACATCATTATTGTTAGTTTTTATTTACTAGAGAGCTTTTAGAATAGACTTTCTCTTTTAGAAACATTGAAATCAACGTGCTTTCTGTCTTTAGTAGTAGTTACTTCTCATTAAACCATTCATCTGCAGTTCTCTCCTGGGGCTCTGCTTGGGTAAAACTCCTGTCGCCCAGAGGAACAAGTAGAACTGGTTACAGTCTATTGGAATAAATATAGCTGCTGCTTTTTCCATTATTTAGTTTTTAATGTTGCCATTTCATCTTTTCACTTTGCAGGGCATGCTACAGAAGAGGAAAATAAACTTAGCAGAACCGTTATGAGATACTGGACTAACTTTGCTAGAAATGGGTGAGAATTATGATGCTAATCACAGCTCAAGTTTTGTCTGTGCTGCCTGAAACATAACAGCAATACCTATGCAGTGGTTCCTGCAGATTTGGCAGAACTTAAGATAAATATTGAAGCAAATTACTCTTAGTGATTGCAAGAAAAACCTTTTCTATGAACCTGCAGACCGAAAAAGAAAAAAAAATAATAATCCAAGAGCTATTACTCCATCTGCAATGGAGTTTTAGATCCAAAAATAATGGTAATTATTAAACATTTGCCATTTCACTGACAAGCATTTTGATAAAAACTCAGGTTCAGGTACTGGAATCACATACTGTGAGCTGGTGTTAGTTTTCTGAGATGCACTCAGCCTGAGCAGCCAGAGCACAATCGATAAGCAACTGGAAAACTCACTTTTCATTCTATTATTTCCAGAAATCCCAACGGAGAAGGGTTGGTCCATTGGCCTCGGTATGACCTGGAGGAAAAATACCTGGAAATAGACCTAATGCAAAAGGCAGCAAAGAAATTGAAAGAACAGAAAATGGAGTTTTGGACACAGCTCACAAAACAAATAATGAATGAAAGGAGAGAACACACAGATTTATAAGAGTTGGGGAGGATACAGTTTGCTTTTAAAACCCAAGGTAAAAAGTCAAGCAAAATGAGTTTGTCAGGATGCAGAGTTTAATGATCACCTTCTAATTCACTATTATGTAACCTCTTGTCATGATCACAGTGAAAAGAGAGAATCAAGGGAAATTTGGAATGTTTACAGGACTAAAAATGGGTCTTTAATGAAGCAAGCAGAAAAAGCCCACAGTCTTTCAGGTTCAAAAAGACCACGCCATCTACTCAGTGGATATCAAAACTGAGTAATGCTCCTGTGAGAAGGGGGAATGAGGGAGAAATTGGCAAAAATACTGAAATCTGTAAGAAATAATCTGTACAGAATATCAATGTCAGAATATGGTATATGCATATTCCCCTCTTCTTTCAGAAGAGAATGGTCAGTTGTCATCCTTACAGCCTCTTTCCACTTCCTTTAATTGGAAATAGCTTCTGGGGAGCAGAGCATCCATCAAAACCCATCTGTGAGGTGGGCTTGACCTTTCTCCAATGAGGACAGAGAAATCTCCATTTGTTTTCTCGTTTTGTAAACTGTTAAAAATAAATGTTGCTTTTCATTTTTTTTTTTTTTTTTGGAACTTCCTTTTCTTCCACTTACCTGATATAGGCTCATTCCAGGCTGAAGCCCCCCAGCTCTTTGAGCCTTTCCTCGTAAGGGAGATGCTTTAATCCCTTAATCATTTTAATTGCCCTGCGCTGGACTCTCTCCCGCAGCTCCCTGTCCCTTTGGAACTGGAGGGGCCCAGAACTGGCCCCCTCCCCCCTTGGTCGCTCCAAGCCCCGTCCATCCCTGCCGTGAAAGCCCCTCCGGGCCGCAATCCGGGGCTGCCCAAACGCTTTTTTCACCATTATTTCGCGGCGGCGGCGCAGAGCGAAGCGGCCGTTGCGGTGTGTCCCTCGGCGGCCGCCGTACCGCGGGGAGGCGGGGCCGGGACCGTGATGGCGGCCGAGCCGCCCGTGCTGCTGGGGCTGCGCG